AGAGAGCTTCTATAAGCCCTTCCAGGATTCTGAACTCTGAAACATGCTAGGAAACGAGACATCTGCCCACCACCCCAAATGAGCCTGACCAACAGAAGAATACACAAGGCAGTGTGGGACGTTAGCAGGCATTCATGCAACCAGGCATAAGACATGGCTGGAAAAAAATGATGCATGCATACATGGAAGGATGGATAGGTGGACAGATGCATGAGTAGATGGATAGATGGGTAGATGGGTATATGGAAGAGAACATGAGGAAAAAGGAGGGAGGAGATGAGGAGAGGAGGACCAGTTAAAGCCAACAAACAACAAAAATAAAACAAAATAAAACCTGGAGATGATAATAAAGACAGTATTTTCAAAAGGGGAAACCAAAGGTATTTGGAGGAGGTGGCATTTGATTTGGGGCTTATGAATAAGCATGGATTGTTCATTCAGGTAGAGAGGATTCAATTTTCTGATTACACTTTTAGTGCAAATGTACTGTATCGTAATTTAAATATTTGAAAATAGGACCCCCATCTGTAGCCACCAGATAACTTCCTGTTTCCCTCACGAAGCTGTGAGCTCTTTCAGTGTCTGGCTTGCTCCTTGAACTCTGTATCCCCAGTGCCAAGAAGAGAGCCTGACAGGAAGCTGTGGTCAGCAATTGTTGAATGATTGAGTGAATGAACAAATGAATCAACACTTCATTAACCGCAGTGGTGGGTAGACCAGAACACCTATTTCTCATGGGCCTTTTCAAAAATTGGGCAGCTCACTTTATTTTTTTAAGGAAACCAGAGATGACTTATTTGGGCAGACAGTATTTCACAAGATTGTTTTCTCGTTTTGCTTACAGGAGAGTGCAGCTGTCATGAAGGCTATGCCCCTGACCCGGTTCACAGACACCTGTGTGTGCGCAGTGACTGGGGTCAGAGTGAAGGGTGAGTGACAAAGGACGTTGGGGCAGGGGTGGTAAAGGACCATCCACACCGCCTCTATTCTGTTACTAGAGGCCTAAAAGCAATCCCAAAGAGTATTTCACTGCAACAAATGTATTTCTGTAAAACCCAATGGAAAGTGAGTCCTATTTCCCACTGAGTTACATTTTGGTATTAATGTCTATGATGAGTCCCCTAGAGCACAAATGCTGAAGTTTCACTCACCCTCCCAAACCATGAATAATCAAAGAATACTTCCTTAAGTGGCCTGATAAAGAGAATCGGTGTTTTGTACATAACTCTACAACGGACAGAGTGGAATTTAAAAGGCTGAGTCTTTCTATAAATTGGAGACCTTCTTTTATAATATAGCCTTACCCAGTAATTACTTCTGCACAATTTGGTTGTGTGTAAAACTACACATAAGCAATGTCCACATATGAGCCCTACTTACTGCTGACTAATATTATCTCCTGTCCCCTTTTCTTGTCCCTCCCTCTGTTCTTCCCACAGACCTTGGCCTTATACAACGCTTGAGAGGGGCTATGATTTGGTGACAGGGGAGCAAGCCCCTGAAAAGATTCTCAGGTGAGTTGACAGTCCTGTTGGGTCACGATGCTGGGGGATGGAGGAAGGCTTGATGGGGGGAATAGTTATGCTTCCTTAGCCAATCGAACCTGTGCTCCGCAGGCTGCAGTGCAGACAGAGGGACTGTCACTGGCGCAGATGCACTATCGTGGCCTAGGTTACCATGGGAATCTATTGTAATTCCCATTTGCCTGGCATCTAGACTTACAGACTCAGACACTTGCGCTGGAGGAGACATTACTGATTATCTAGTCCAGTAATTTAAAAATATTCTATAACTCTAGAACCTGTCCCTGCTTACCTCCTCGAAATCTTGTGTGAATCTTCAAAACTTAAGCTGATACAGACATACAGCAAATTAAGTGGCAGAACTGGGAATCAAATTTCGGTTTGAATTGATTCAGAGTCATGCACTTCACCTT